TGTCTCTTTCCCATCTCAGCCACTGTTTTTACCGAAAAAGCAAAGTATTTCCACAACCCGCTTTAACTTTTGTTGTTTCAACATTAAAATACATTATTTTGAAAGTTGTCCCTCATATTCCATTCAAATCTCTTCTTATCTTGAGTATCTTTTTCTGAATTTCAGGTCATTTTTGATTAACAGATGCTCCTTTTTATGCGTTTTTGCACATATGCAAATGCAAAAACGCATATTGTGATGACCCGGGTGTGTATGCCTATGTATACATGTGTGTATGTGTGCGTCCGTCCGAGTATTTCAACTCGGCAGCCAAGCAAGCTCCGGCGTCAAAATTTTACCAACATTCCTCGGCCAAATGTTACCGCAGAGCCGCGGCACCAACTCTCGCGCACATCTAGGTCCCGCGTACGAGCGCGCGAAAGTTTTAGTGGGAAAATCGCTAACCTTTGAGCCAGAAAGTTAGAAAACTGAAATTCTGCAGTTATATCCTCTGTCCACATAGAACTCAAAGATTTCAAATCCAGCCCCCAGACAAGCGTAACACTCATATATGCCCTGTGAAAATTTTTGGCAGGAAAATGGCTAATTCGGTAATAAGGAAAGCTGGGAGGCTGAAATTTTAGAGGGGTGTTCCCAGCTCATATACAAGTTAAATATTTTAAATTTATCCCCCAGATATGCGTGGTTCTCATGTACGTCCCGCGAATATTTTTGGCGAGAAAACTGCTAACTCGAGGACCAGTAGAGATAGAAAGCTGAAATTTCGAAATGTTCCCTGACCAAATAACATGTAATAACACAACTAATTTCCTAAACTTCGAGGACAAGTACGCCATAAATTCTAGCTACTGGGACTCCTAGCGATCTTATAACAGCACAAAATACAGCAAAAACGCATGATCGCACGGGTCTGCCCCGTGCGCGTCGCCGATGACTTGGTTATATAACTATGAAAATAGACAAATTTGGATTCGAAGTTCGGGACAATTTAAATTATTTGAAATCCGGTGATTGTTGCAGATATCTTTTAGCTTCCTCATTATGCAAATCGCATCAAACATAGGTTGATTTTATATTGTTTGTGCAAAAAACTCAAAATTTTTATGCAAACTGATGATAAGAAACAAAACTACATGACGGTAAGGCACAGTTTCATAAAACCCTGCTATCTCTACACTAAAACGATGCTGACGTTTTCTTATTCACTGAGCAAAGAAAGAGCAAATGAATTACAGACCACCGTTATGAATTACTGGCATTTTGCTCAGAACTAATTAAGTGCCATAAAAAAAAAGCCCGTTCGTGCAAATAAACAGAAACAGTGAAATGAATAAGAGAAAAAACAGCACCGGTTTTAAGTGAAAGTTCCGAGTTTTTAGCCCTAACAGCAAAGTACAACTAGCCTGTGGTGCACTGTCTTCAGAACCGAACCCACTGTCCACATTTTCAAATGTAGCAAAAAAACAGTCAATCCCTTTACACTACATTCATAGCCTCGAGCGCAAAGTAATAATGATATATCTGGTATTCACGAAACTCATATTTACTCTCAATCTGTTTTCAAAGTGAATTCTGAAAGTAAAAGGCATCAAAAACCTCGTTAAGAAATGGTGCCCTAAGTGGATCTCAGGTGCATGAGGAAGGGGAGCGAAGGGGCGTGGCTCAGAAGTGAAATTTAGACGAATTTTTAAGTTCGAATTTAAATCCATAGGACTTCAACGAACTTCCTTGCCACAGCATGTTTTAATTTCTGGACATTCGCATCTATGTAAGTCAAATTTGAGGAAAACTGGCAAAAAACAGGACTGAAAAAAATAAAATTTGATTTCGAATCCATTAACAAAAATCTGCCTCTGCAAAGCAATTTTTTACTCAATGCAGAATTACCTTCCATCTCCTTCACATTCCATTCAGTTCATTTAAAATGCAATACACAACACAACATGCGTGTTTAACAGACTTCAAAAATAACTTTTTAAATGCGAAGCAGAAAAAAAAAACGCAAAAAAAAACATACAAACAAACAGCTCTATGAACAATACCTAAATGAGATGGGCCAGCAGTTGTGGCTTACTGACAGCTCAATCACCAGCCTGCTGCTCCTCAACCTTCTTGTACTCGTCGTACGCCTTCTCATCCATTAGCTCCTTCAACTCATCCGCATTCTTCACTTTCATCTTATAAAGCCAACCTAAATGACAACAATCATATTAGTGCTGTGAGGCAATGTACTGAGGAAAACCAGTAATCGCACTGCCAGCAAGCAGTAGACACTAATGCAGGAAACGCCTTTACACGGAGGTGCACTTCTGTTCAAGCAGCAGAATGTGAAGAATTTTTCAGTA